GACCTTGACAAACTGACTCCTGTTTTGCAATCTCAGGGAGGAAAGAAAAAAAAGTTTCTTAATTCTTTGTAAGCTGCATTCAGTTTGGTTGGTCTCAGTTGTGCAGGTCTGATTTATATTAAACTGATGTCAGGCCTTATGTTTTGGCCTTTGGAAAAGCAGTGGCTGGACAAATCATTCTGGGTATGAGATATATTTTGGTCTTCATTGTCAGGGAGTTTGCAAAAAAGCCTGAAGTGCCACTTTTCATTTAGTTTCTGTCAATCTCAGGAAACCCCATAAAGCAGTCCCATTGAACAGGGCCCAGAAAAGAGCCTTACAGATTCAAGAAGCTGCAAGAAAACATTTTAACAGGCCCCAACTGGTTGCAGTTACACAGGACCAATGTGCACGTGCACATAAACATGCAACAACCAAGACCGGTACCTGCAGTTCTGGAATGTGATCTCTAAAATGGAGTTCCAAGCATATTGTATGGCAAATAACAACTTTGTGGAAAGCCAAACTATACTCAGCAAAAGCAGCTTGGCTCTGAAAAACTTGGCCTGCATGAATAGTGGAACATATTTCCCTCTCTCAGCTCAACTTTGGCCTTCCTTTTCTTGGAGCTCATTTACCATTGCATTCAGATCTTTGAAGAAGCCCTTTTCAGTCTCCTTCACATTCTTATTTTAACCTTTTTTCATTTAGAAATTTCAAAATGTATTTTAGATGAGCTGGAATTCAAACCACTACTCATCATAAAGTTCACTGGAGGCCCTTGGGCCATTCCTAAGCAAGCATTCCTAAGTATCAACTATCTTACAGGGTTGTTGAGCTCCTTATATGAAAGACAGGTACAATATAATTAATGCATATGGGGAATTCCAAAAGGTATCTTTGGTCAGTGATCAGCATGACAGACGTGGGGGCAACAAAACAAAACAAAACAGCAGTTCTGCAATTGTGTTGCAATGTATATTTTTAATAGTGTTCTCAAGAAAATTAAAGTAGGTAGGCAGACCTCTTGAAGCCTCTTTCTGAGTCAGTGGCAGCAAGGACATTTGCTAGGCCAGAGACAGGCAAAACAAGTCTCCATCTTCTTTGGAATAATCTTTCCCTCATTTCCCTCTTTCTGGAAAAATTCACCTGCGGTGGCAACATGACCCAGGAAAAACATCCATAAACCTTATACTGCCTACACCTGTATTATAAAAGTGGAAATATTATTCAAATTTCCACCATACCAGAATTTACAGCCAACTCATAACTCTGTACTATCAGTGGCTCTTTAGGGTTTCAGGCCAAGATGTTCTCCATGTTAGTTCTCTGAATCTGAATATAGAAAGCACATGTTCTGACAATGTATCATGTCTCCCTATTGATAATAAAGCAAGTCTAACTATGGCCCCAATGATTAAAAGAAAAAGTTAGAACTGTCCACAAATGACTTCTTGGAATTTTCTGTTTGTGAGCACAGAAACTGGGGAACCATTTCAGCAAATTTCCCTAGGGGAGGCTAATTCTTCAAGTGTTTCTTGTGTTTGCAGGAATGTACCTTCTTTCTTCTTTCCTGATTTTTTTTCTTTGCTATTGCAAGTGGCAGCAGAAATTTGGCATCCACTACAATGACCCAACCATAACATTTTTCTAGGCATTGTGGGGAAGAAATGGCAACCCAGGAAAACATGGTAGAGAATGTTCAGATAAAATTTAACAAAGTGGCCTTTTTTTAGGGGATTGAAGAGAAAAAAAGATACATCTCAGAAAAAAAATGTTTTCTGAAACAATCCAGCTCAAGTTTTTCAAAATATTGCTCAACGTAACTTAAATGAAGCAGAGCAAATGAGGGCAAGTGAAGGTGTCAAAAAGGGTTTTTTTGAAATCAAGCCATATTCATTTTCACCTTTATTAAGAAGCCACTTGGCAAAGCCATTGAGCCATGGAGACTACCCCCTGATGAGCAACACGGAAAGGAAAAATAACCCCCCAAAATTCATGGAGCTCCTGACTCAAAGCAGTAGTGTCTGACTCTTGTCGAACTCACTGGCTTGAAGCAGGATGTAGTATATCCCAACAGATACTTTTTTCTAGAACAAACTCCAGATGTGGAGGCCTGAAAATTCCCTGGCAGCTTGCTGCATTCTTGGTATGTTCAATGGAATGGATTTTCCCCCTACAATTTAAACCAAATCTCCATCCTCTAATTCAGACCTGCACAGTTTATGACCTACATGGTAACCCTTTCTGTTTTCATAATCCTATATGGGACAGCATCAGATGTAGTGACCATTAAAAAATGGTGGACAGACTGTGTTTGGTTTAATGGGTCACAAGTCATGCAGGCCAAAGCACATTGCCTCATACAAAGGAGGTATCTGTGAGCCTTTTCTTCGACCTCTTCGTCAGGTCATTCTTTTGAGTTTCATAAAACTGAAACCAAACTGCTAAAGGCAAGCAGGTTCTTGTTCTGGTTCTCTGTGCTTGCAGATTTCAAAATGGACAGAGATGAAACCTGAATAGCAGTACTGGAATGAATTATATGAGACAACTAACAGGGGAAAAATGACGACGACTGCTAACTACTCTGGACTGTTTCAAGGAAGATATTTCATGAAGTAGAAAATGTGAGAAAGCCAAATGGTACCCCTTCTACCAAGGCAAGCCCAATGCATCTGGATGCAAAAGACAGAAAGACCTCAAGGCAGCCTCCCCTGATAACTATCATGGGGCAAGGCACAATTCAGTGGGATGTCCCCTACACAAGAGTGTCTTCATTTCAATAAAAGTTATGATGGTTTTCTTGCTGGATTGTACCCCATGAGAAATTTCTCTTCTCAACACAGAGGCCCCCAAAATTCATTGGATTATCTTGCCTCAGGGCAAAGCTGTGTCTGGGAACACTAATAATGCCAGCTTAGCTCAGTTCTCCCCCTAGTTTGGTTCCAAAAAGACCAATGAAAAATCTGGATTTTCCTTATTCTTTCTCTGCCCCAGTTTGCCTCCCACCCCTAACACAGGCATGGACCCAGGGATAGACATCCCTCCAGTCTATACAAGTCCCTTGGAATTTTCCATTCCAAAGACCAGTCCTACTGTTTGTCAAGGTGAAGTGGCCCAAGTCAAATGACAGACCTCAGATTACTAGTAATGAGCAGCAAATCACTTTAGAATTATAATTTTGCCCATCAGTGAAGGGCACCAAATCATTGTGGGTTATCTGTATTCATTCCCTGCTTTCCTGGAATTCTTACCTCCCTGTCTCTTTTCCATCCAGTGTTTCCTAAATGATGCCATGACATGGAAGTTTGCACTGGGAGGACGAGAGGGAAGCAACAACAATACATAAGGAGAAATAGGAAAAACCAGAAGTACTTTCCCTAATTTATGTACATCACACAAACATCTATGCGTGCAGAGATGGAACATACAATGGCATTAGACAAACACACAAACTGACAGAGAGTATAATTTAATAAAGGATTTGCTTCCCCCTGCTAGGGCTGTCAAGACTGTTCAAATTTTGTATGGTACAGGAAGGCGCTCAAGGATTAGGAGGAGGAGCCAAAGCTTCTGGGGGCTATATGGATTGGGTGGAGACAGGAGTCTCTTCTTTGGGGGTCCGCTCTTCCAGGGGTCTGTAGGATGATGGGAACAGTCACAGTTGGAGCAGTAGCATCTGTTTTTCTACTGCCTGATGGAACACACTGCTTATGTAGGATAGTAGATAATATATGGGCAGGAAGCCCACTATTCAAATTTTGTCTCCGACAGGCATTCACTAGGTAACTGTTATTGCAGCTTCTGCCTCCTACCAGCAATATGGAATAAAACTGGCCTACTTTGCTGGGTTGTTGTGTGTGAAGCGATCTAAACACTGTTAGGGCACCACATAAATGCTAAGTTTTATGACAGAGTTGAACAGCAATCTGTTTAGCTGGGCTCTCAGTAAGCACATGGGAGATGAAATGGGGATTCACTGCACAGAGCTGAAGTTGGAGTGCACTGTGGCCCTACCGGGTATCTGTCGGTCTGTCCTGGGAAACAGGGCAGGAGTCTAGGGGGAGGGTCTGAGAGGTCACCCTGCTCGTTCAGCTCCTCCAGGAAGCCACCTTCCATGAAAGGAACACAAATGCACTGCACACCCAGATCTGAGTAACACTGTGCACTTTCTCTCTTCTTCACTGAAGCCTCCGTTTATCTACAGGCTTAGTTTTCTACAAATGCCATCTAGTATGCGGGGCTTGTCAAATACCCAACCTTGCCTTTCTGAGCAGGTACCCTCCCCGCCCACCGCCATCACCCCCATGAGTAGCAGAGCTACTGATCAAAATTCTTAGAAAAGACGCCTTGGAATGCCAGCTTCCCGACTCTATGGAGCCGCAGGAATCCGTTCCGGGGGCCCTCAGGAGTGGGGGGGGGCGGGTTCTAGCTATGGGGCTCTGCTATGGCAGAATGCAGTTTTAGTGTAAATCTTACACAGCGTGGGGGTTTCTTGCCCGAGGTTCCGATGGAAGGTGTCTTACTCTGCGAGGCCCCACGGATCAAGTGCAGGGTTGGACTTGTTCTATAGAGTTCCATGGAGTTGGCCATCTCTGGCTTTGTGAAGCTATTTGTTAGATGCTCTTTTGGGTTCTCTAAAGCGCTTGTATCTCTTCCGCAGAGCGGTCTACAGGGACGGGGAGGGTCGTTAATAGCTTTACGAGCACCCCCCCCAACAAGTAGGGGGTTGTGCGGCGGGGGGGGGATGCTCGTAAAGCACGATCTCCGGGGAAGGGGGAATAAACATTCTCACCGGCGCGTGGGGTTAATTAAGCCCGATTCGTCCTGCTTTTTGAGAATCCCCTTTTCCCTCTTCGCACCCACTTCTTCCTCCCCTAATCCTTATACGAAGATAATGAGAATACATGGCCAGGCGGCACCTCCCCCCACCCCATCGCGTCCAAAACTGCACGATCCGTGGCGGAGAGAATGGATACGAAACAGGCGAGCGATGGGGCGCTAGCAGGACTCGCACTTACCGGGCTCCGGAAGGGAGGTCGAATGAAGCGGGGAATGAAGGAGAAGGAGCGCAGGAGAGACTCGGAGAGCCAGCCGTCCTTCTTCCCTTCCTCCCTCCTCCTCCCTTTCTCCCCGGGACTTCAAAGATGGGGGAGTGGGAAACAGACCCCCCCTCCAGTCTCCGAGTGGCGTCTGTCGGCGGCGCCCCCCCTGCGCCCCCGGGTTCAGGCGCCGCCGCCCGTGCCTGTGCGCTCGCCCATCGCAGCGCCCGCCCGCCGCCTGCCGCCTTGGCCACCTCCCATTTCCGAAGAGCCCAGAACGCATAAGCAGCCCCCTCCCTCCTTCTTTCCCTCCCCCCGCACCTCTCTTGCCAACTCTCCGCCACCCGCCCCCCGTCCGCGCAAGAGCTCATCGATTGCACCCGGCGTCGCTCGCCAGAAAAAAAATGTTTGCGCCGTAAAGCAAAACTATGGGGAGGGCGCCGAAGTCAGGAGACATTATATAACGCTTGTAGAAAGACGGCGGGGCAGGGGACGGGGCGACCTGTGCGTGTGTGCCTGAGGAGGACCAGAGGCAAGCGCGGGGAGCGACATGGGGGCCAGCGGGGGTGGGGGAAGGCGACGAGGCTGGGGCTGCCTCCCGGGCCTTCGCCTTCGGGGCTGGGATTGCGCGCAAGCTACCCCCGGATTCGGCAAGGTTGTGGTGCCGGGATGATAGCGGGTGTGGGTGTGTCATTCCTGCTACAACGCTATCAAGGCACACTGAGTTGCGGAGTCAACATCATTGGACTCAGCAGGGTTAATGCCAGGTCCATGGAAGACGTACAACATGTACGAGGCTCCCGTCCTGCGCCTTCTAGGTTTTGAATGGCGACTGTTTACCTCCCCTCCCTCCCCTCCCCTCCCCGCGATGCACTCGCTGAAATCCGGGAACGGAGTGTTTTGAGAGACCCTGCCTGCCAGGCCCTTAACATGTCTAAGAATGAGAGAAAGCTGCAGCTCGCAAGGGAGAGGAGACCAGCAAAATTGGCGAGAATATTAAACTGTCTCCGGCGAGCTGCAGCCGCTCAGGAAAGGCTGCGGTTTGCGTTGAGGTCCTGACTCCTTCCCCTTCCCCTCCTCTCACGCCCCCTGCCCCTCTGCTCTCCCCCTTTCTCTTCCCAGCTTTCCTGCTATTTCTCCTCCCCTCTCAGTCCCCAGTACAAAGGAATGGGAGATGCCTGGAGCTTTTTTTGGCAAGGCAAGACTCAGGAGCAACAGAATCTAGGAGAAGAAAAAATGAAGGAAGAGACGGATCGGATCCCGCAGGAACTGGATTCCCCAACAAGCGCTCCGTTCTTTAAAACAAGGAGGAGCGAGAAGGCGAGCAGGCAAACGCGTAAGGCAGCAACCTCTGCTGAAGTGGTGGCTGGCAGGAAGGAGACGGTGGGGAGGAGGATAGTTAAACTGAGCTAATTCAGGCATGTACTTAGGATGTACCATTGAAGCCTCATTTGGTCTCTGTATACTATTAACATTTGGTGAAACGGTTCATTTAAGTGCCAAAGGGATGTGCACATTTTGAAACAATTGCAACCACTTCTGGCAATTCATTCATGTAGCCAACCTTCGGAGCTGGCTTAAGCTATTTTGCTGCCCTGGGTTTGTTCATTTAATTTATATTATTTCTATTCTGCTTCACATCCAAACAGACTCCAGGGGCTGACCAGTATAAGGCTAAAACAAATAGTAAAAACAATATGTTAAAAGCATTTTAAAATAAAATAATATTAATATCATGGTTGAAAAGGCTTCCCAGAATAAGACTGTCTTTAGCAGGTGCCAAAAACAATGGTGTTGGTGCCTGCCTGAGGCAGAGAAACCTGCAGAAATTGGGGTGCCACACTGAAGGCTCTTCTCTGTGAGAAGTCCCTGGAAGAATATTCCTTAAGGACCTCAATGACCAGGCAGATTGGTACAGAAGAAGGTGCCCTCTCATATCCTGGTCCTAAATTGTTCTAGGGCTTTGTAAAACCTTAAATCTGGCCTAGTAGCAAATTGGTAGCCAGTGCAATTTAGGCAGTTCCCAATAACAGCCAAGCTGCTCCCTTCTGCACTAGCTGAAGCTTCTGGAGAAACCTTAAGCATAGTGAAGTAATCTAGTCTTGAGGTTACCAGCATTTGTATCACTGTGGCCAAGCTAACCCTGCTATGGGAGGCCATAGCTAGCAAACCAATTGGGCTTGGCAAAAGGCACTCCATGCCACCATGATCATTTTGGGCTCCAGCAACAACAATGGTTCTAGGAGTACCCCCAGGCTATCGACCTTATCTTTAAAGAGAAGTACCGCCCCATGTAGAACAGGTCATTAACCCTTCTCCTGGACTCTGGGTACATTCACCAACAGGACTTCCATCTTTCCAGGATTCAGCTTCAGTTACTGGCCCTCATCCAGCAACATCATCACACTTGGACGCTGATCTAGGACTTGCACCTTCTCTCCTGATGCAGTTGTCACTCGGAGATGGAGCTATGTGTCATCAGCATACTGATCACACTTAACTTCACATCCTCCGATGTCCACTCTCAGCAGCTCAAACTGATGTTACATGACACTGGGGACAATATGGCACCCCATGGAATCCCATAGCTCAACCGCTGGGGTTTCAGGAACAGTGACACAGTGTCACTCTCTAAAATCAACCCTGCACATAAGACCAGAATGACAGCAGGTTGCCTCAAATACCCTGCTCATGTGGTCATCCAAGAGAATACCATGGTTAATGGAATCCAAAACTAATGATAGAGCAAGTAGAATTAGTAGGGTCACCCCCCCACCCCAATCTTGCTCTTGATGAAGGTCATCCATTAGGACAAACAAGACTGATTCAGTCCCATAACCAGGTTGAAACCCAGACCAAAATGAATCTAGATGATAAGAATCCTCCAAGAGTGCCTACAGTGCTCTGCCACCACCTTCTTCACCACCCTTCTCAAAAAAAAGAGGTATTTGTGACTGGATGGTCCTTATCAAAATACTGTTGGATCCAGCATGGGTTTTTCAGAAGTGGTTGCACTACTCCCTCCTTGAGGACAGCAGAAGCTACTCCTTCATGCAGAAATGCCTTTTCCACTCCCTGGACACACATGGTTACACCCCTCAAATAGCTTCTATCTGCCAGGAAGGGCAAAGATCAAGATTTCAACTAAAATAATCTTCTCAAGAGGTTTCAGGATTACAGCTTTTTTTTCATATTGCACACAAGTGGAAAGCCTGAAATTGGGAAACCCTGGGATGACACCATGGTCCCCACATTCTCTTTGAATGCAAAAGCAATGACAGCTGCAGAAATGAGCATGGGAGGAGAGAACTGGAAACACGGGTGAGCCCACACTTCAGACCCTGTCATCCAGAAGGTACTGTTGTGTTCCACCTGGTCACTATGTATAATGTCAGGTCAGTTGGGCCAACTCAGCCAGCTATCATGCTAAGGGTGTCCCTGATGATTCATGTCCTCTGCCCTGTGCGTGTGCACATGTGAATGTGCACACAGTTATGCACACTCATAGTCTTAGCACTACAGTAGTGCAAGCTGCCATATAGACACCCTTGCCTGATGTACTTGATGGGTGGATAAGTGAGAGTACACTTGAAGAGTTGTTCAACACCTTAAACAGGACAAATACACTGAAGAGGAAAATGCACAGCTTATAAATAGCTATACACCATACATAAACACATACTTTTTTTTAAGGAAGCAAAGGATTCATGAAATATAGGGTATTCCTGCCAGGGAGTGGTTAGTATTTTTGGTGCTGGTCATGCAGATGAGTAAAGAGGAGGAAGTTCTCATCCATGCATTACTAGAAAAGTAAAGCAAAATTCAGCTTCTAAAGCTTAATTCTAAAAAGCTACAAAATGTGTTGCTTATCACTAGTGACACTGCATGTACTATCCAATAGATTCCCATGAAATTTGGACAATCAAATCCTGCCTGTTAGTCATGAAACCAATGTATTTGCTAGTTGCAGGAAGAATAGCATTTTCCCAGTGACAGAACACAAGTTCAATGCTTAAAAAATGCAGTATCCCCACAACAAAGGAGCTTTAAGGAAGGAAGAAGTTAGGATCCTTCACAGCGAATTAATAGTAATTGCAGTTTCTTGTGTCAAAAAAAAAAAAAAAAAGATTGGCTGGAAAGGTCCTGTGAAGGGCAGGGGAAGAAGGTGCAACTTTACCAGACGGAAATATAAGCAAAACAGAATGGTTGTAGGATGGGAGGAGGTTAGCTTCTTGGGAACTTTGGTTCAAGGAACCACACATGCACAGAAGTACATAACTTGCTTGAAATCTCTTCAGATTTTGGGTTGGTTCTCCTAAGGAGTTGCAGTATGAGGTAAGCTGCAGACTCTCAAATGCATGTTTGCACTATAGGTTCTAGGCCCAAAAGGATTAATTACTTTAATTATTTGGTTCCCCACAGGCAGCTGGTTGGCTACTATGTGAACAGAAGGCTAGACTAAATGGACTTTGGTTTGATATAGCACAGATCTTCCTATGTTCTTGTTAAATAAATATTAATAGAAAAGTATGTCTTTTATATAAAGCTAAATGGAGTGCTTGGGAACAGATATTGCTTCCATTTGGTAAATCTAGGTAAGCCAGTTTATAGCACTTGCATCAGATTAGGATGGTAAAATCTTGGAATGAGGATGGATTGTACCTGTTTAAATTGAAAATAGGATATTTATATGTGATACTGCTATACTGCTTAATATAATAAAATCCCTAAGTGGTTAATAAAAATCCCAAGTGTTCTAACATTTTTAAAATGTGCCCCTACATTAAAAGTACCCTAGAAGCCTAAAACTATCAGTACAGAACAAGCTGGCCCAGGTACTTTCTCCCTGATATGCCAGTTATTTTAACTTCAAAGTAAGTTTGCCTGTAGTTGTTGCTGTTCATAGCATTCCTTGTTTACAGTCTGCAGTGGAGGATACTATTCTGTTACCCCAAGATTCTATCACTGCATTTTGATACATCTATAAACCAGGTCTGAATCTCTCCCTTCAAAAGATTAGAGATGTTCTACATATTCCACAGAATGGAGAAGTAGTATTCTGAACTCTGCCATTTCAGACAGATGACATAAAACACGTATTTTTGAATGTTTCCCCATATGAAAAGTTTCTGCATGAAGC